AAGGAATATTTGCAAAATAGAATACACACTAGCCCTCCTAATAGTTTTTGAAAGACATTAAAAGATAATAAAAGATATTAAAAGATATAAAAAGATGTGAAAGAATATCGAAGAATGTTAAAGAACGTAAAAAGATATAGGAGTACGTGAGAGTATATGGAAAGATATCTGAGATCGATATATAATCATTCTACCAAAATTAAAAATAATCTTCCACTAAACTATTCTACTATGTATATAAATATCATATTACAAAATAATATAAACATAGATCCTAACTAAGAATAAGATATTGTCTAAATATAGAAATATAATAATGAATACAGTAATAAGAGATAATTATATGATATAAAAATATAGAGATAATTATAAAATATAGGAGTTATAAGAAAATATGATTTTACATAATCACAAAAAGATTAAGAAATTAGAGATTTTTATGTTACTATGATAACAATACTATATAATAAAGATTAAAAGTTTTTTTATATTAAACTTTATAATTTTTTTAAAAATTAATTTTAGTTTTATATTAAAATAAAGTCTATAAGTTAAAATATTATTCTAAATATAAAGTTATCACAAAGTTTTTTTAATTAAGTTTCATTTTTAATTAAAAAAAATTTGTAATATTTAATAATTAGTATAATGTATTTAAAAAAATTAAAAAAATCTAAAAAATAATATATTAAAACTATAACTTATAAACTTAATTTTAATAAATAATATTTTGATATAAAATTAAAAATTATTTTTTAATATAATTATAAAATTTAATATAAAAAGAAAATTTTAATTTTTTATTATATTTTATTAATAAAATTGATTTTTTAATTTTATAATTATAAAATTATTATATTTAATAAATATAATTAAATATATTATAATTAGTATTTAAAACTTATTAATTTTTTAATTTATTTCATATATAAATAAATAAAGATTAAGAGTTAGATATTTATATTATATAAATATCAAGTTATAACTTTAATTAATTCAAATAAATTTATTATTTCTTGAACAAATCTATATAAATAAAAAATAAAAAAAATTAAATAATAAAAATCAAAAAAAATATTACTTTATTTTATATTTATTATTATTATTAACTAATAAATATAATCTTTTCAAAAAGCTTAAATTAAAATCAAACTTGAACTTATATTTTGAATTTATAATTTAATTAGACTTGAACTTAATTTCAGAAAAAAAGTTAAATTAAAATTTAAAATTTGATAAGTATAAGTAAAAATTATAATTTTAAATAAGAATTATAATTTTAATTATAAGTATAAAATATATTTGCTATTTAAAATTTTAGTTTTAAATAGATAAACTAAATATTTTTACTTAAATAAATATAATTTATTATTATATTTTTATAAATAATAATATATTATAATAAAAATTATAATTTAAAATAAGAATTATAATTTTACTTAAAATTTTTAGTAATTTATTTATAAATATTTAAATAATATTTTAAACTAATTCAAGAATTAATCTTGTTTATTTTATATAATTCTTATTAAAAAATTTAAAATATTATGAAAAAATTAAAATAATTTAATTTTTAAATAAATAATAACTTATTTTAAATATTAAGTATTTTAATAAATATAGATTTATATATATATATATCTTATTATAAATTATATTTCTGAATTTAAGTTATAAATTTATTTAATTTTACTTTAATAATTTAATTCATATTTAAATCAGAATCAAACTTGAATTTAAATTATACTTGAACTTAAAAAAAGTTTATTTAATTCTTCAAAACTACTTCAAGTTGAAACTTATATTTATTTAATCTAATTTAAATTTTAAATCTGATTTAAATTTGATAAAAAATTTAATTTAATATTTTAGCTAAAATATTAATATATAACTTAATAAAGTTTTATAAATAATATTTATTTTATTTTATCAAAATTTTGCTATAATTTGTTATATTTCTTTATTTTCAAAATAATTAGATAGTATTATTATATACTTAATAGTTTTAAATAGATAGGTATAATAAAATAAGCATTAGAACAAGACTGAATATTTTATAATAATTAAATTTCTTTAGAATTTTTTAATAATTTAATAAAAATACAAGAAAAATTTCTGATTATTAACAATAAAAAGAGTCTATATTAGATTATAAAAAGATTTCTAATTATTTATAATATAATAATACATTTTATAAAGATTATTTCAAAAGTGATAAATCAAATAATTTTAATTAACAAAGAATTATAATATTTAAAATCAGAAATAAACCTAGTTTTTGCTAGTAATCAAAATGTGAATTATTTTAAGTAAATATTATTTTCAAACTTTGAATTAGAATTATTTTCGATTTGAATTTTGAATTTTTAAAATTTAAGATTTTTCAATATCTATACTTTTAGCATTATATAATTAATACTTGAGTTACTGATTATTCAGTTAACAGAATCACAAGTTAATGATTTTCTCTTCCAGATCACCATATTGAACTGCATTTAATTTTTTAATAACCATTGGTTTCTCTCAATTTTATAATTTAATAGGATATATATAAATAATATAGCACATTGCTAAATTTTTATAATCTAAAATTCATATCTCTTTTATATATACTGAATTTATAAACAAATAGAATACCTATATAAAAATTACAGAATTTTTCCTAAAAAAATTTATTAATTATTTCAAATTTTATTAGTTGATTATAAATTTTAACTTACATATTCCTATTATAAATTAATGAAACATCAAAAAAATGCATAATATAATATAGCAAAATATAAAGTTTCTTATATATAAAAGTTTTCAAAACAAGATAATAACCCATAGTTTCATCTTCAGAATTTTGCTGAGAAATTGTTCTAATTCTATATTCTTATAAATTTTCTAATTTACAATTTTAATTTTACAATGACTTTACAATTGGTGCAACTATTCAAAAAGTCTGAAAAAATTAAGTGAAATCTTAGGACTTTCAATAATTTTTTTAATTGTTCCTTCAAAAGAGTATCAGCACGATTACGGCTTGTTCATCAACAAATCCTCGTGGCACAGCGTCTCCTTCGCTTCTTGGCGGGTCGCGGCCCTAGAAAAGTATAACATGACGAGAAGGGGTTCGCGGTGTAACATGGACATGAAAAGGAGCCTAGAGGGCAAATGGTTTATTATCTTTATTTGATATGTAATATGAAATATTTATCAATAAAATTAATAAAGAAAATTTGCATTTTAGTGTATGTTACTGTCTTATTACATTATTTTGAAATTTGTGTAATTTATGGTGTATATTATTTTTTACGGTTAGCACATGTCTCACAAGAGTTTGGTATCAATATTAATATTGAGAATGATAGAATAGTTTAAAATAGCGTATATTATTAATAAGAACTAGATCTCAAAGACTATAAACCGAACAACATCCTATTGAAATGTGCCGAAAGAATCAAATAAACGGGAAAAGATGCATTTGATTAGATAATTACCTATGAGTGACATAGAAACGAGGTAAATTATATTAGAAATTTCTAATACAGTTTACATCGTTTCTATTGCACTCGGCCGGTAAACTTTTATTTTCATATACAACGATGTTCTCAGATGCCATTTCTCAATAATTTTATAATTATGTAATTTATATATAAAGTAGATTATGGTATAATTCCTAACTTTTTTAATATCCTAAGAAAGATTAACCAGTTGACTTCGTTTCAATATTTTCTCTTTGCCGGGTTCGAAAAATTGATTGATCTTTCAATATTGTTCACCTATGATTACAGTATCCCACATTTCCGCATTACATCAATTTGTCTACTGTCCATATTCAGTTACTTCCCGACTAATCGGTTATCGGAGAACAAAGAACTCACTATTAAAAAATTCCATGCATGAGTTAATGAATTGCAGTTGTATATACGTACGTGACCGAAATTTATTATTCGTTAAGAATCGTACGTTCGTTCTGTATGTGCGAGACCTAAATTTCTTTATTTTATTGTTTATATGAATGGTGAGAATCGTTTTACTTCTTTATCCATTAATAGGAATTCATTATTGGTAATGAGAAGATTGAAGACAAAATTAATTTTTGTACGTGACTCGAAGTAGTACATGTATGGGGTATTCCTAATAAGTTTCCGAAAAAAGAATCTCAGAATAACCAATTATATTTCTGTGTCTAGCCACAATAACGAGTAATTTCATGTGAATCCCAATAGAGCTACACATGGTAATTGTGGATCATTGTTGCATAGAATGACAACGTAATATAATTGGTAATACAGTCAAAATAAAGCTTTGACAGAAATCAAAACGTAAATAACCAATTAGATATGCTCTGAATAAATAAAACAAGACTTGCACACATTGCAGCGATATGCTTTAACTTATTGGAAGAGAACCCGAAAAGTAATTTTTAATGAAAACCATGCTCGATTGGATGACAAAATTATTTATGCATATATTAAAAATATTTGCTACTGCAACACTTTATATACAAGAGACATGTAATAAAGATAAGGTTCGGTATTTTTGCGCTGTAATTAATCCATTCAAAATGATTGATCTCGAAAGTATTTTAAAAAGCATATTAAGGTATACGTTAAAAACGTTCAGGAAGTTCTTATATAGTTTTGGCAAATTGATGCTCACTCCAAATAAATGAAATACTTATATTTAGCTATGAAACGTTTAAAATTGTTAAAGTTCAAGAGTAAGCTTTTTCTTTCTTCCCCCTCCGCACGTCTCTTATTTTTATTTTGAAGAGATAATAATACAATAATTTATTATTTAAGTAAACGTCTTGGTGCCCTTCATCGTGGTTTTCAACTGGCAATTTTTGCTTACATTATCTATACAATTATAAATAGTGAAGGATATTTCAAAAAGGTGTGTTGATTTGGACAATCCCAGAATGTTGTTTATCAAGCTTACGAATAATAATTATGTTTATTTAGGAACTTCCAATACCCGGTGCAGTAAGAATTACATTACAAGCACCAAAATCCTTTGATGCTCCTGATTATTGTGGTGAAATACCATGTGTTTACTGGGGGGCAAATGATGGTGCGTAATCAATTGATTGTTTTTTTTTGTTTGATTCTTATTGTAACCTTTATTCTGTAAATTGAAATATTTTGTTTTTTTAAGTTCAATATCCTAATGATGGAGCAGGCGTTGCATTCTTCGCTACAAGAGTAAAAGTCAATAAATTTGACCCACCAAACAACTGCAATTTCCTTACAGCCTCAGCACCAAATGATCCATGTATTTTCAATCCAAATATCCCCACTCCAGTCGTAAATATTTCTTATATTGCTGATATTGAAAATTACACGGTAAGCATATATACAAAAATATTATATATGAATACTTTTTGGGCTATAATTTAGTTAACTATTATGATTGGTAATTAGATCATGATTGAACATTCAATTCGAGGACACACTACTGATATTGGTATACGTAATGGTTTAAATGGTTCAATGGATGGATCACTTGTGGGTACGAATGGGAATGTTATTAAATATTGGAATACCACTTCAAGGGTAAATATTTTTGTATTCATTTTCAAGAGGAGAAATGTGAGTTACTTATTCATTAATGTTATACAATAAATTAGCAACAGGATGATCCTAGAGCAGATGGAGATATTATGACAGTTCAGCAACTCTTGACAGCAGCCGGTGCAGATTTGGAAGGTATTCAGAATTATTTGAGTCAAACCTGGGTTATTCAGATTAACTCTATGACACGCTTTAAGCTTTAATTTAACTGCAACGATCATTTAATATTTTTTTGTAATTTGATTAATTAAAGCTGTTTCAACTGCACCTGGCGCTAAACCTGGAGAGACTTACAGATCATCCGGAATAGTTATTGTCATAGTAATTGAATATACGAACGTACCATTCAAGGTATTCTTATATAGATATTTAACAATTTAAATAATCTATATGTAAATTACGTTAAATCAACTGACTTGATTATTAAATTATACAATTGATGGTTGATGATGGCAATATAGGAAGATACCATAACGTACACATATCGCCCGCAATATATTAAAGGTAATGAGTACAAATCCATTGAAAGCATATATCAGCCGAATGGTGGATACTTGATAAAAGAAAGACATGGGTATGTAATAAACCTTTTTTGATTTTAGCTGATCTATTATTAATCTTTAAATATAGTTGTCTTACCGATTTATATATTTATTGCGATTAATTATTAGCCTTCGATTAGTATTTCAACAAAGCGGAACAATAGGAAGGTTCGATTTCATTTCGTTACTTCAAAATATCGTGGCCGGTTTTGCTCTTTTCGTAAGTAATAATTCAATTAATTAATTAATTAATTAACGATTTCATAAATAATTGAACGCTAATCAATTAATCAACAATTGATAAACAGTCACTCGCCACAATTATAGTGGAAATCCTAATGCTGAAATTTCTTCCAGAAAAAGACATATATGAACAAGTTAAATTTGAGACCACGCATGATATCTATGAACACAAAAAATCGAAAAAACGAGGCATTAGTAGCAATAGCGACGAGACGCAGATTGAATCTCAGTTTAGTAAAGAAAGAATGGAAAATTTAAATGAGTGTTAAACAATGAAAATACAAAATATAATATTTATTCAGAATCATAACTCTATTTTTAATTAAAATCCGCAAATAATTAATCGTCATTTTTTACAGATAACTCCAAAATTTATAAACAATTTTTATTTCATAAACTGGAAAATTAGGCCCATTCAATGAAAAAATATAATAAAATTGGGTGCATGGGTGTGTTTAAAGTTGATTTTTTTCAGCTACCGATCTTGTCCGGATACTTTGTCAGGCCGGTGTATGGTTTGATCATCACTATAAAGTTGTATCATGAATAAGATAGCGACAGCGTTGTTTTTGAAAAATATCTTTTGTATCTCAATATGCAATAAAATTTTGCACTCGAGCTCACATGACATTTATTACATGTAGTGATAAGCCGCCGTTCATTTTTTAACTCTTATGGCTTAATTATTATCATCATGGCTTTCTAAGGCTGCGATCTGGTGCTATTAAACAATATACATGTATAAAGGATACACTCAACTCTACTCTCGACGCAATGCATAATGTCTAGAGGTGCCCACGCGCTTTGTGCGCGCATATATTCGTGCGTACTTTTGCGCATTATGTGCATAGTTCCTAACCGATATCGGAAATGCCCATACAGAACTTATCACCCCAATTAACTTTACACATACATCTTAGTTTTAATTTATTAAATTCTAGTAAAAGATGAATACAGAATAGTTTACATAATTCATGGAAAGTATAATTAAATTAATCAAGATAGTTAAAGAAGATGATCCCTCTGATTTCAAGCTCTTATCTCATCTCTCAATAAAATTATCTATCTATTCTGGAGAATCAAATGAAAATATACTTATCTAAATAATACAAGTAAAAACTGTATTTCTGACTCAAGAAATTACAGATGAAAGAATTCAAGTACAATATGTTGCTACTTTCTTGATTAATATATTATTATACTAATATCTCAATAAATTCAAGACTAATAATGATACTACTTCTTTTAAGAGTTGGAAAACTTTTGTTATAGTACTTAAAGAAGTATTTCAATCATCTTATTACCAATAATATTTTTGTAAACAACTTTATTTTCTTTATTAAATAGGATTTATACAAGACTATAATATAAAATTTAGAAATATAATTGGCCAAGTTATAGATATAAGTAACTTAGATCAAGTTACCTATTTTATAAAAGATTTAAAATCTGCTACAAAAATGAGAGTCAGTTATCAGATACCAGAAATCTTAGAAGAAGCTTGAAAATTAGCAATTAGATATGATATAATAATATATAAACAAGGCAGATCTTTAGATCTTTCAAGCAAATATAATAATAATAATCATCACTTCCAGAATCAATACAGAAATTACCAGAATAATAGTTTTATACTAATGAAATTAGATCAAGCAGAAAGTTATTATAATAATAGAAAGAATAATAATAATTAAAAGAATAATAAAATAAAAGATATCTGTTATAATTGTGACAAATCAAATTACTTTATCAAGAATTATTATTCAAAATCAAAAGCTAAAATTATAAATGTAAAAGATAAGCAAGAAGAATTTTTATAGTTATATAAAAGAGTTGAGTTTTCTTATTTAGAAGACAATAAAGAAAAATTATTAAAATTTAATAGTCAAATTAATAATAAGTTAGTATGAGTATTACTAGATAATAATATATCAAGAAACTTTGTTAATAAGAAATTTGTACAAAAGAATAAAGTAAAGTTATAAAAGATAATATCAATTATAGTAAAACTTGCAGATGATAAAAAGATTACTATCACTATCATAGTAAAGATTAATAAACTGAAGTTAGATATATATTATATATATAAGAAGGATGTATAAATATTGAAATTGCAGAGATATGATTTAATTCTAGATAAATCTTGATTATTTCATATCAACCTAATTATAGATTGGAGAAATAATATCATAATCTTTACTTATAGATCAAGAATAATAAAAGTATAAACTAATAATAAAATAAAGTCAGGTTCTAGCTGTAATTTTATTTATATCTCAAGATAGTATATCACAAATCTACTAGCAGATGCAAAACTCTTTACTATATATCTTAACAATACTAAAAATAAAGAAAAAGTAAAAGAAAAGATACTTTTATCTGAAGTATTTGACATCAAAAAAAGATATAAAGATGTATTTTCAGAAATCTTACCAAATCAACTATCATTCAAAAAAGTAATTAATCATAAAATTGACCTTATTCCAGAATCTAAATTATTATCCAGACCTATTTATAGACTTTTTTTATTAAAATGGATAAGCTCAAGAAATAATTGGCTGATTTAATATAAAAAGGTTTTATTTACCTAAGTATTTTACTATTTGAAGTACCAGTTCTTTTTGTATATAGGAAAGAAGATATATTAAGACTATATATTGATTACAGAATTTTAAATAAAATTATCTTCAAGAATTATTATCCATTACCAAGAGTTAATAAATTGATAGACAAACTTATAGGATCAAAGTATTTCTTAAAACTAGATTTATATTCAGAATATCACCAAATACATATTACAGAAAAAGAGATATATAAAACTGCATTTAAAACTTATTATAAGTACTATGAGTTCTTAATTCTATCTTTTGAACTTACTAATATACTAGCAACTTTTATAATACTATGGGTCAGTGCAAAAAGATTTGTATCTCAATATAAAAATCAATAATTACTTCTAATAAAAATCATTCAAATTTTAATCAATCTTTATAATTTTTTTATATTAAATAAAAAATGATTTAAATTAACTTTTTATACTATTTTAACTATTTTATTATACTTTAATTTAATAATAAATGAAGTATTACTTTACTAAAAAAAATTGAAATAAAATTATTTTTTTTAAAAAAAGATATTTTAAATATTATTACTATTAATTTATAATATTAGAACTTCAAATTATGCAAGCAGAT